TTCTTTTTGTCATTCTTTTATCTAATCCAATCCTTTGTTTTCATTTTCTTTGATATTTTTTTCATCTTAATTTCTTCCTTTTCATTTCTTTCGTCTATTTTTATTTTCTTCTTTTCCTTCTTTCATTACCTTTCATTTTACCTTAACAAAAACAGGCTTTTCCTTTTTTTTTATTACCATTTTGCATTCTGCAAAATTTGAAACCAATCGGACTTACTAAACTTTTATCGTTGTAAAAACGTGAATTAACTGATTAGTGAAATATTCATTATGCGAATGAGCAATGATCATATTCACTCACATACTACAAAAACAAGTACAGTAGGCTATTCTTCTTATTGCCATCTTGAATTTGAACTTTGAAACCAATCGGAATTACCAAACTTTTATTTATCGTTGTAACAAACAGTTTACAACCAACAACGACAATGAAGACAAACGGCAAAGACAACTATATTGGTAAAAACAATAGCCACCCCAGAAGCCAACAATTAATTCACTCATCATACTTGCTGAGTAGGCGCACCGACAACTACATAGCAGACATACAACCGTACATCAAACACTAATAATGGCTGTATTATTAATTTTTATGCAGAGCCCCTCATGTTTCAGGAGTATGCCATTTTATAATTTGAACTGCGCATGTGCATGTGGAAGATGGTCTTGTCATAAAACAAATATAACACAATGTAGTATCTGTATTAATCTACTTTTTTTTTAAACAGTATTTAAAGGAATAATAAATAAAAAATATTAACTTGTTTTATTCTTGTCTGAACTAATCTGTACGTACAGTATGCAGACAAAAATCCGTTTACCAGAGAACAAAATCCAGTAAACACTTATACCATGGAGGAAATATATTAATATATTTCCTCCATGCTTATACCTAGGCTCTCGGTCGTGTATCCTTGGTACCAGGCGTTAATTAGATTTAACCTGTGAAATATAACATTTTTATTGGGCTTAGTGCACGTCATACAAAATGTAATTGGCGTTCCATACTCCATTTCGATACTGTCTCTAGATCAACTCACTCGTTGGTTCAGAATGAGAAAAAAACAAATAGGGACTTGAGGCAAGTCTATGCTACGGAGTCAGTCAAAGAAACCTTTGGACCGCCCTATCAAGTGATACCTCTGACAGAGGAATGTTATTTTATTACAATAATGATTATAATAAGTACAAATGATGATTAAATTTTAAATTACAGTACCACCAACAGATTTAAAAGGTATATATATTTGCCAGAATTATTAGCCTTTATTCTATAAAAGGGGTTTGTGATGCGAGAACACTGTGTTAACATTTAAAGTATCATTCAAATTCAAAGTTAATTTAATCTTTATCAGAAAATCTTTGTTTATACACTGTAATATATAAAATGTTAGGAAATTTAATATATATATATATATATATATATATATATATAAAACAAAATTCAATATATACATTTCATATATAAAAGAGGTTTTGTTTTATCATTCAAATTCAATTAAATTCAATTCAATATTTATTGGTCCAATATATAAAAAATACATTAGATTAGAAAATCTTTGTTTATATACTGCAATATATAAAAGCTATAGGAAATTGAATATATATATATATATATATATATATATATATATCAAATAAATTAAGGCGAATTAACCACCTCGTCTGTTGTTTTATTGAATATGTTACATACATACGCACACACAAACACTCAAGTGACTGGAAGTGGTCCTGTCATTTATTTACTCTAAAACAGTGGCTAAACATTTTTTATACACTTTCAAATTTCATGTTGATAATTTTTATGTTAATTTCAAATGAGTTGATGGTACTTTGCATAGACAATACCGGTACATCTTTAATTATCTTGTTAGTGTTGATAATACTATCAAAGTAAATATTAATTCATTCTTAAATTCTCAAATGGCACTAGTCCTACTCTAATAATACTAATAATAATTAAAATAATAATAATAATTATGGATATTATAATAAATATATATAGCCCTAGTCATATTGTATATAACTGAACATAATGAAATATGGCTGATACATATATAACATATTATTTCTCTATATGTATTCCACACCGTTCTTATAATTTACCTATACACATACACACAAACACTATATTAATAATAATAAAAATAATAAATAAATAAATATAAAAAATAATAAATATAAAAATATAATAATAACAATAATAATGATAAAGATAATAACAACAATAATAATAATATTTTCTTTTTATCAAGATATTTACATATTTTGTGTTTTTTATTTTATTTTAGTCACAGTTGCGTCGGTTTATACAATGTTTTATTTGAATATATTAAATAAAAAAAACGAAATAAAACTATTAATAATATCAATAACAATAATAATAACAACAATAATAATGACAATAATAATAAATTCCTAATATTAACACAAATTAACACAAAACATACGCTATGGGGGAATAGTAATGTTGTTGTTGGTACTTTTTTTTTCTATATAAGATTGGGTATTGGTTCGGTAGGGCCGGGTATTTTTCCATTAGGCCTATTTTCATGAGAATTCAAAACACGCTTAATATACCAGGCAATCACTTCACCATTCAAAAGAATAATTGAAGGAATATAAAAAATATTAAGGTAAGGTTATCGACATATGCTCATGTTGAAATTTGTATGGTGTTTATATCGATTGACCTTGATACGAGCATACGCGTTTCCAACTACGAATTGAGTTATTAACAAATTAATTCGCTGGTAATAAAATTTAAAAATGTTCATACTATGGAGACTTTGAATCACTAAAAAGGTTGGAAGATTAGATAATTATATTTATTTCATCTATCTAAAATTGCTTTTAAAAGCTGTCACTGGGCCTGCCATGATTTTCTTTAAAAAAATATATATATATTGCTAATAGCCTAAACCATTAAGCTATTCATTCATTTCATTTTCAAAATTGGCAAGGTATCTTGTGGCTTAATTGCGTACAATTTACAAAAATAAATAAATAAATAAATAAATAATTTAACATTAAAATGATTGAAAAGGGGATAAAAACAGAATCATATACATTATTATTTTACTATTATTCTCCATAATTAAGTATTAAAAGGATTTGTAATATTTTTTTTAAATTACAACCCTCCACCGTTTGGAAATCCGACGAAGAACTATAGACAATAATTATTTTAACCCTACGAGAAACTCAAGAGACACCCGGACCTAGGGATCACATTTGTGGTACCCTATGTACTGGTACCCTATAAATGTCATAGATCTGCTAATTGTGAAACCATGTAAGTTGTATATGGGGTTACCCCGTTACCATACACTATAGAAAATTGTAGTAGATTATACACACTTTTCCGTCTTGTGTACTACTATGAATTTAAGATAAAAAAGAAAAAGATATCGCCACGTTAGAATAATCAGAGCGTTAGAATATTCAGTAATATGCGTGTCTATTCACTGCAGAGTTATCTTCACATCACATTTCCAGTCACGCATCCGTTTTACTCCTTCGCCTTGTTTCCAAAGTAGGATAAGAACATTTTTGAATCAGTTAATTTTTAGTGTACTTGTGACCATTGATTTTTCAGCTTATATAAGTTTTCCTTTGAAGTGATATTTAATCAGAAGATGTTGAAAACACGCCTCCAGCATGAGTTATGAAAACAAATAGTTCAGTTTCTCTGTTTAAATTGAGTAAGCCTCCAGAAATCATTTTCATACTGTGTGTCTAAATAGAAAGACAGAATTGTACAGTTACATTGTATAGAATGTCAATTCAGATCATCTGCGTATTTGTTCATTGTTTATTTACAAATAAATTAACTGGTTAAATTAGGTTCTTGCTTTTCTATCTCTCGAAAATGTTCATAACGTATGTTCATTATATTCATTAGCTCCTAATTCCTAAAATTGCTGGGATGGTAACTGTTGAAAAAATACATTTTTAAAGGTATCCAACCATTCATTCATTGATGACTTACTCGATACTAGGCATGATTCTACATTTCATTACATCTATTTTAAGACAAAATTTGGCAACTAGATGTGTAGCCAATGCCAGATACATTTTTTTTCAGGTCAGATAAGCAGCAACGCACGTCAGTGTTTTCTGTTAAATGATATGGATAATTTTTCTTGGTTTTGTTTTTCATTAAGGACTACAACTATTCTTGATATCGATACAATTAACGTCCGAGTGTTTAAAAGGTGTCTGCAAAACTGCAAAATGTTCCTGGATGTCATATTTAACACGAGGATTTTATGAGTACAACTTTTTCCATGCGAAATATTGCCTGTTCTTCCTGTTTACAGCAATTACTTGATAAAGAGAGAATCGTGGCACTTCTCCAGCTGTCACACCGTGGGGTTCACTTTTCTGTGATAAAATTAAGATATATTAAGAATCAATGACTACGAAATGATAAAACAGAAAAAAACATGATCAACAACAACCAAAACTACACCAAGAGCAACAGAGAAACAACAGCAGCAACAGTGGCGGCAACAAAAACATCCCTAAACTTTTTTGATAATAATAATAACACTAATAATAATAATAATAATAATATTAATAATAATAATAATAATAACAATAATAATAATAATAATATTAATAATAATAATAATAATAATAATAATAATAATAATAATAATTCATTCATTCATCATTTTATATTTACTACTATTACTACTACTACTACTAATAATAATAATAATAAAAACAATTATAATTCATTCATTCATTTATTCACCATTGAATTTTTAGAGTTGCATATCCATAGTAAACGCAGAGGGACAATAATAAATATTGAAAAAATCTAATAATAATAATAATAATAATAATAATAATAATAATAATAATAATAATAATAATAATAACAATAATAATAATAATAACAATAATAATAATAATAATAATAATAATAATAATAAGAAAATATTTTGCGTGATATATAATATACAAAAACGTTATATTACAATATTGTATGTACCTCATTAAGTTAGTTCCAGTAGCACATTTACAGGAAAAATAATGCTAATATCGTCATTGATGAGAGCGCCTCCATTTCCTACCAGTATGCGTTCTTATCCATTTAAAGTCATCTTCAATAATGCACCCATCCTGTTTAGATCAATACCGTATGTCACTATGAGTTGATAATGCTTAACCTTACACGGTTTATTCGTTTAGCAGAGAAATATTTGTGATTTTTTTAAATGTTTACTTTTCTAACAACATAATTCATAAGTTTATTGTTGTTATCAATATCAATATTATTGACGAGTGGCCCTTCAGTAGTGCATTATGATTGTTGTTTCGTAAATAATCTATTGTAAATAGTAACAGGAACATCAGATTAATAACAGCGTTTACTTACCCGTCTTGTGAGTAATCGATTGATCCAACAGCAAATTCCGTTGAACTCAAAGACAAGGAACAAGTAGAAATATTTCTTGGTAGCTGAAATAAAACTTTGTTAACCCTTTAACATAAATCATGGTCAGATACGTAAAAAAATTACTTCCAGTTTCTTTTATGCTGTGGATAAAATGTTAACGCTGTAGAGTAAACGGCATTAATGCTGTAAAAAATATCATTAATGCTGTAAAGAAAATTCTGTTTTTTGTTAATGCTGTGAAAAGAGTAAACATGTTAGAATTTGAGCTAATATGTTGTAAGGCGTTATACCAGATTGTTAACTCTTCGTAACAATAGTCAAATTTTGACTGTTTACACCAATGCGTTAGAAACAATTCAGTACTCGACACTTAACACACTAATGTTACCTCTCATATCCTTACACACGTACGCACGTTCTGATGATGCGCACGATTGAGTTTTCCAAGAGAAAACGTGATCTTCCCGCCTGTATACAACGCACCCACCTTCTGCACCAGTTTCGATGACACTGTAGTCAACGTCAGTTCCATCACTCCAGTGTTCCTCGTCAGCTAGAGGAAAAAACGTAAAGCACAATAGACTTTTAAAATCGGTGATTACTCTTCCGTGTATCTGTGGTTCTTTGATTCACTGCCCATTGAATAAAAGGAATCTTAAGACAAATATAATGGCTGTATTGTTGCCTATGATTAAATTTGTCTCACAATTTCAAAGTCCTCTTTTCTGTCGAAAGCGCAAAAAGCACCCAAAATATTAGAAATTGGTGCTAGAAATTAATCTTTGAGAGTATGGTGAGTAATATTCATGGCCTACTTCTTGTGACACTGACTCATAGATTATGGTTGCTAGCCGTAATGATGTACTTGTTTCCACTATTTGTATCAATGCATATTGTGATTCGAAGCTACATGATAGGTGGCTTTCTGTTTTGTACACGGACGATGATTAATCTCAGCTTTCTAATTTTTCTTTCTTTGTTGTACTATGTAATAATATACTTGTATTGGTATCTATTATGTGTTTTGGACAATTTCTGAAATAAAATTGAATGAATGAATGAACGAACAAATGAATGAATGAATGAATGAATGAATGAATGAATGAATGAATGAATGAATGAATGAATGATAACTAGGAAATAATTCTCGTCTTTATTAAAATGAGAATCAATGACTTCCTTTCTTGCACAATTTGATATTGATCTCCCTTGGGCAATTTAATTGGCATACACTCTAGCAGTGTTATAATTACTTACAAAAATTTAAACCAATCCACGAATCTCCGTCATAGTATTGAATGATAGTCTGAATAAACTCATCTTCCTCTTGTGAATGGATGCTGGCCAGGTCAGCCTTTCGCAGCCCTCGGCAAAAAGATACAGCTGCCGGCCATGACAGATTGCTATAATGGCGGTAACAATTATTCTTATAACCATACCAACTTCCATCAAGACAGCCAAATTTCTGAATATCTAGTTAATAAAAAAAAAACAATAAAATTATAAAATTAATAGTTATATAAGAAAATGTTTTGATACTGTAATATTGTTGGATTATATTGGTAACGCCGAAGTTTGCATGTGTTTCACCTCAACATCTACTAAACAATATACAATCCTAAGTAGTAACCACCTCAGAGTGTGGAAAATTAAAAGATACAAGATAAATTTTATTGTATTTTTAAGAAAACGGAATTGCAGTTTTGGTGAACAATAAAAACTATGAACAAACAAACAAAAATACAAATCCCATCTGATAACCCATGGCATTACAAAAACAATAATCGACAAGAACAACAACAAAAATAACAACATCAGTAGCATAATGATAATATAACAATACAAATAACCATATTATTGTAAATATAAAAAAATTATCTTTTCTTTGGTACACATTCTGAGGTGGTTATTTTTCAAAAAGTATATTGTAGTGTACAAATAGTAATGATAAATTTAGCATGAGTGACTACCTTTCTTACAGACGGCTCTTGTTTGATTGCTTATTTCACAGGGGCCGTCGGACCAGGAGACAGAAGTTGGGTAAAATTGTGTACATTTTCCTTCCCCGTCTATAAGATAAAATAACACAATTAAAGGAGTCGTATATCATATAGGTATGCGTTGTCTAATGGATGTGACACTCAACCTGACAGCAAGAAGTTGCAAGTTCGGATCCTGCTAGAGACACTTTTCTTCATACAACTGAATTAATGAGGAACATTTCGTTGAAGGGCTATGCTTGATAGATTGTAACATTTTGTTCTTATTTAAGCACTATATTTATCCATTTGTTTATATTGTATTTAAGGCGCTACACAACAACCTTAAAATTCCTTAATTTCTTGTTATTTATGAGTAATTCATTTGTTATTTAAGCCAGGCACTCAATGCGTCGTGGAAATGGAAAATAAGAAAGTCTTGGGTCGTAGGCCCAAGCCTTGGTTGGGGGCCAGGGGGGGGGGGGCCAGTGGAGGTCCCAGTGGAGGTCAAGGAGGCCCTGGCACCTATAGCCTTTTATAAGTTGTATCCGAGATTTTAAGAAATGAAATTAGCATTTATTTTTACACTGACTGTATTTTCAAAATACAGTGGCAGATCCAGGAATTTGATATGGGGCCCAGGGAGGGAATTTTACAGGTGGAGTGATAAACTTAAAATAGTCACTTATTTAGTCTTTCTGCATGTACAGTACTTTTAAAATCAATCAAGAGGCTTTTCATTTTCTCTTTTTTTTGAATTTCACTTTTGTGCAAGTAGTATTACTATTGCGACTACATTATTGTGGGTGGAAATACTACAGTCTAATTCACAAACAAGCAGAACTAGGGAGATAGGGAGCACACAAATTAATTAGCATTTTTATTTCACAAACATAAAGGTGATTTACTTAATTTATCAGTGGTGGATCCAGGAAACCGAAATAGAGGGCGACTGGAGGGACTTTCACAGTTTTGGAAACTAGACCACCGCAGGCTTGGGGCTGAGGTAAGAAAATTTTGATTTTTACACCGCTAGATGGCCGGAAATGTCACTCTCAGACCTAAGTTCTAAGTCGAAGTTTGTTAACTTGTTGTGTCACTACTTGAATAAATCGAAATAGATTGACCTGTCCGTGTCAAAAGCTCTATAATTATTTTTTAATAACGGCTATATAAAATTCAATTGACTAACTATATGTATATTTTTTTAATTAGGAAAAAAAGGAATCAATGTCTGTAGATAATATTAAACACTAATATATACGTACCGGTCATTATAATATACAAAAGGAATAAATCGTTTATGGTGGAAATTGTGCACTTTTGAGTTTGTAAATAAATCGAAATAGATAGACCTGGCGTGTCAAAGGCTGTATAATTATTGTTTAATAACGGCCATATAAAATTCAATTGACTACTATATTTGTGTTTTTTAATTAGAACAAACAGGAATTAATGTATGCAGATAATATTAAACACTAGTATATACGTACCGGTAATAATAATATACAAAAGCAATAAATCGTTTATAGCAGAAATTGTGCACTTTTTAGTTGTATAAATATTGGCCTATAGATACAGTACATTGTTTTTACTATACATTTAACCTCTGATAACAGTTGCACCCATAAAATCGATGTAGTGGTTAATGAGATGGTTATGAAATGTACAAACAATTGCGTTTTTACTGGAAATACGCACCGCACTTGAAAATAGCACAAGTAAACAGACAAAATTCATGACAGTCATTCGTAATTGTTGTTCTTCCCGCTCGCTTTGAAAAGTGGGGTTTTAATTAATGAAGATTGTTGAAAAGTGGGGCTGGAACAATTGATATGATGTCCCCCTACTTTGAAAAGTGGGGGACATGTCCCCCATGTCCTCCACCGATCGACGCCCATGCGGCTGCTGATTGTCGGTGGAAGTCTGAACGGATCGTCCTAAAAAATCCCATTATGCGCGCGTCGTTGCGTTGCTTTCTTTATAAAATCACGTCGGCCGACGACAATCAGGCGCAGTGAGTACACGAGATTGACAATTAGCTGGTTTTAATGAAGCCACCGACGCCATGTTGGAGAGGCCGAAATTCCAGAAACAAGTCTTCGCAGCACTAAAAATTTGAATCACTGTGACGATCATCAAGAACGCACACGTTTTTGTTTTCCTGCACAAACTGGCGTGTTGAGTGGGAGGATGTGAAAATAAAATCATTTCTTTATATTTAAATTTATATACGACATTAGGGGTCCTCAACATGGTGTCGCTGGCTTTACTTATATTCTGTAATGATTGCCCGATGAGTCCAGCTATTATCAGGGGCGGATCCAGCCTGCCAGAAAAGGGGGTGGGGCCGCTGCCTGCGAGCGAAGCGAGCAGCCTTAGGCTGGGGCCAGGGGACCGCCTAGGGCCCCCGGAGAGGTCAGGGGCAGAGCCCCTGGGTGGGGTGAAAGGGGGTGAAGCCCCCTTAAAGCCAGCACATTTGAGGAATATGAGTTTGCATTAAGTCAATTTTGACTGTCTAGCATGGTAGTTTTCAGTATCAATAAAAAAAAAAAAAATAGGTGCATGTCTTTTAAAAGAAATTTTAATATTCAGGGTAGCCGTAATATGCAACTATAAAATGTGTCATTTAAATAATAATTCATCTACTCACAGCTGTGAAAATTCAAGGTTTTCCAATCTTGAAAACGGTCAGGTAAATTTTTCTCATGTCTTATTTTATGTCTGTTTACCTACATAAACAAATTGAGTAATTGCATACAATTTTTTTTAAATGAATCAATAAATTCCAAAAAAGTAAGGGGATCCGAAGGTTCTCCCCGGGAAAATTTTGATTCTTAGAAGGCGGGAAATAAGCTTTCCCGACTTCTGAGGTGTCTTTTAATTACTTTTTTATTTCTTCAAAAATTCAATTTTTTCCCCTCTTGAAAATATTTTAATGAATCAATGAATTCCGAAGAAAAAAGGTGTCCGGGTTACCCCGGAAATATTTCGATTTCTAGAATGCGGGAAATGAGCTTTCCTGACTTCTGAAATGTCTTTTAAATGACTTTTTAATTTCTTCAAAATTTAAGGTTTTTCCCTCTTGAAAACGGTCAGGTAAATTTTTCTCATGTCTTATTTTATGTGTGTATACATACATAAATAAATGAGTAGTTGCACGCCTATTCTTTTTTCCATGAATCGATAAATCCCAAAAAGAAAGGGTGGTCCGGGGATTATCCCCTGGGAAAATTTTGATTCCTAGATGGCAGGAAATAAAATTTCTCGAAACTGGAAGTGTGTTTTAATGACGTTCTTCAAAATTCTAATTTTCTTATTGTAACATAAAAAAAAAAAAAAAAAAAAAAATCAGCTCACGGGTCCTGAAAAGTTAGGTCTAAATTATTATTTTTTTTTGTTGGCCAAGGGAGGGGTCAGGACCCATTACCCCCTCCCCCAGATCCGCCAATGTGAATCGCGAGACAATGTAACTCGGTTGGGGACTGGATAAACATTCTCTTTCCCATCCTTCGCCTCCTTCCCTCTTTCATTTCTTGCATTTCTTTCCAATCATACAAAAATCTCCAGACATTATATATTTTTTTGCCAAAAAGTGGGGGGGCGGGTTCCGCCGGCCCGTTAAACACTGTGGGTGAAATTTTTTTGCCAAAAAAATAGGGAGGGGCGTACACCCCTTACATCTAATCCCATTCTAATATTTAACAAAGGGCCCAGAAATCAATTAAGCCAATCCTGTTGAATGTATAGGTCTCAAGTCACTCAACCCAATGGCAATAAATCGTGCTTTATTTAGGCTAGCTAGGCTAGGGTAGGCCTAGTAGCCTAGATGAGACCCTAGCGCCCCGTCTAGGGCCTAGGTTAGCCTACCTACAGCATTGAAGATCACCAGTGTTTAATTATTGAATATAAAAGTCCTATTGAATTAAAGTACAGTACAGTATATTGTATTAAAATTTTCTACCAGATAGAACGATCAAACTATCATCTGTTTAGAGAGATAACGTTACATGCCATCCTGTAATGTTGGTGAATGTCTAGGGATCATCTTAATAATTCAACACTCACTGCATGCGGAGAGCTGAAAACTAGCTACAGCGTACTTTTGGGCTGTGATACCTTCTGTTCAGGGATCGTCTCAAAAATTCCGTTGTTTTTTTTTTAAGAAAATGTTTTTTCTTGCTATTTTTCACTAGACAGTATACATAGGCTAGCCCGAATCGTTTTTTTGTGATATAAGTTGGGGCGCGCGTCGCAGGCGCCCCCCCCCTAAATCTGCCCCTGATTATAGTAAAGATCAGTTGGTTTTAGGAGGAAAGCTACTGTCATCTTGATAAATACAAGTCAAAGGTTAAATCTCAAATGAAACTCAAAATTCTAACCTGGTGTCCAGTTCCAGTCCCATGTTAGGGACTCCAATCCAATCCAACAGTGTTCATGGGATATGTTGCCTGCTTGTGACGACACAAATTTTTTTTCCTCTTGCGATGTAATTGATACCAATTTTGCGCTTTCTCTTTGACAAAACGAGTTTGCGTCATCGCAATTAATGACATTGTCACCAAACAAATAGCATGTTTCTTTGAATTGCTTCCAGCCATACGGACATTGCTCTTTAAATAAATGAGCAAATACGTATAAAGTATCCAAACATACCGTAGTTTATTTATCTGCTTATAATGAAATTCTATACGAGATAGGTCCATGATTCGACCATAGGTCATCGTCAGGCAATTTAAATGTTAATTTCTTATAATATATATATATATATATATATATATATATATATATATACATATATACATATATATAATTTAATTACACATTACATTATACATAAATATAATTGATATCTTCAAGTAAAAAATATATGGATATATAATGATTAATACCAAACGAAAGAAAACCTTTTCAGTAAACACATTAAATTTTGTCACTGATTTTGTGTCTTTTACATAATAATTTGAAACACTGCGCAGCCTATTATCATGTTAAAGAGTTGTTTTTGTCATAAACACAATGGAAAGAGGTTTATCTTTTAAATATCCTACACACCTCTAAATATAACCAGTAATGGACTTGGTAATCCAATAACTTCATTGCTTCGTTTATTATAGAGCGTTTTGATTTGCAAAACCAGAGTAGTATAGTATGGAATATCAGGGATGAGTATTCCTTCAGAAGGCTCTCCATTAAATGTGTTGTTGCTGATATTCCAGGCTTCCACCGCATCCCACCATTCAACAACGTAACCAGTTACACATCCAATGCCATCATCACGATTGAATGCCCACTCAGTCCAGGTAATGTTGATACCAAGTGAACTACGTGAAGTAACAGATGGTGGATTTTGTAGAACCGGTGGATCTATTCAATACAAGAATATAAAAATAATATTATTTGATATGATTGAAATTGTTACATGATGGTTAAAATATTCGTCTTTCACTCCAGGCCATTTTAATTCGACATAAAATCTTCGACAACACCAAATGATGAGCTTTTCTGGATGTATTGTATCATTTATGGTAATAATAATAAGAACGGTGAGTAAAGTAGAGGCCATTTTCTTTATTTGCAATTCATGAATTTCTGCATAGCCTAGTGTTAGTCCAAGGATATTTTATTTATTTCCAAAAACAATATACCAGTTAAAACAAAACAACACATAATGATTAGAAAATCTACATATTTTGGCTTTTTCGATTTGAGGACAAGTAATATAACAGCAAAATAAAGTTCTATTGATTATAACAACTTTCAATAACAATAACAATATCTATAATAATAAATAATAAATATAATTGCAATGATAATGTCTATAAAGCCGATAATGACGATCACAATGATGGTTCTACACACAGTATTAATAATCATAATTATATTAACAATATTAATTATCTTCTGATCGTGTCCACTGTGTGGTGATGGTTGAATTGGCGACAAAGACGCTTTTATCAAACCCCACAATATTATTAATCATAATTATCAGTATTGATTTATAGTATAGCTTATTACAGCAAACTGTAAATTAACAAGAATTTTAAGAAACTATTGAAAGTCTATATTTCTACAACATTCAGTAAATATAAAAGTATGTTGTCGTACACAAACAACAACATGTGATAAAAATGTGGACAAAGTTTGTAAGGTACAACACAACTGTTGTTAATTAACAAAAATGTCTGTGAATTTACAAGGAGCTATGCAAAATCATAAAAGTCTGTATTTTTGTATACCTACAACATCAAGTAAATATAAAATGTTTTAATTGTTGTGTATTAACACGAAAAGGCCAGTACAGAAAATAATATATTAATTTACAACATTCATATTGTTTTGCTACATAAAATAATCAGATTTTTACAATAATAATAATAATAATAATTATAATAATAATAATAATAATAATAATAATAATAATAATAATAATAATAATAATAATAATAATAATCAGCCTCTAAGCGCTTCACATGACTACGCCGGTCATTGGATCAAACACATATGGAACACATTGAAACACCAAATTAAATTAGTAAATGAAATTATATTATCATTCCATAAATCGCAGCTAGTAATCAGCGCAGGTTGTGTTGGAACCTACCAGGTACCCACTTGATTCCTGGGTGGAAAGAGGCAACCGTAGATAAAGTGACATGCCCAAGAACACAAGCGATTTGCACAGCCAGAGTTTCGAACCCCCGACCTCAAGGTTAGGAGTCCAAGCCACAACCGGTGCGCCAACCGCTCCTAAATGATAATGATTAGTCTTACTCAAATACGTTTACACTAAAACAAAATTAGAATAAATATAAATATTTATGGTATTAAATTACCAAATACGATTATAAACTAAATATATTTAATACGTAATATGCGTTGTATACAGATGACATAACGATGATTGTAGAATGCCTGCAGGATTATGTACAATACTTACATATCTGATGAAATGCCAGCGGACTAGGTTTTCCAACAAGTAATACACCGTCGACCTCAGTAAGAACCTTTACTGTGAAACTGTATTCCGTGTTGTAGTTCATATTTGCGCACGTTATGCTCGTTTCGGTGCCTATTGTAACATTTAGAACAACTAAATCGCTGGTATCATTAGTCGGCCAAAATTCAAACCGATAACTGTCAACATTTCCACAGCCGTAGTCCTTGTAAAAATTCCAGACCGACCAACTGATATTGAAATAATTTGCAAACACTTCGATCAGTGGAGCATTGCTTAGAGCTGGAAGATCTGAAAGATCTGGATTTAGAAAATAATAGTTGATTTTAAATATTCTATTTTTAATAATACATAATTCTAAGAAATAACAAAATCTACATGCTTGCTTTTTCAATTTGAGGACAAGTAATTTAACAACAAAATAAATTTCTATTGATTATAAAACTTTCAATAACAATCACAATATCTATGATAATAAATATAATTGCAATGATAATGTCCATGAAGGAGATAATGACAATCACAATGGTGGTGAAATACAGTAATATTAAGCCAGAATTATATTAACAATATTAATTATATTCTTATCGTGTCCACTGTTTGGTGGTGGTTGAATTGGCGACGAGGACACTCCATAACCCCACAATAATTATTAATCATAATTATCAGTATTGATTTAAATTATAGCTTATATATTATATATTTAAAATTGATTGTTGTTGATCTGAGTTGAAGAAATGTTTTGGCTAGGAAATATAAATAAATTTACAAATGTATATAAATAATGCTCTATATAAATAAAATTTAAGCGTCTTCAAAATGCCCAATGACGGTGTTACCAACGAAATCAAGCAGGTATACCTTCTTGGTGTTATAATACTTACATATCTGAACTGCCAGTGGACTAGGTTTTCCAACCACTAACACACCCTCAACATCAGTAACAACCTTTACAGTGAAACTATATTCTGTGTTATTGTTCATTTGTGTCCTCGATATGTTCATTTCCGTGTCCATTGTGGTATATAAAACAACTAAATCGGTGATGTGACTAGTTGGCCAGTATTCCAGCTGGTAACTGTGGACGTTTCCACGGCCGTAGTCATTGTCCAGACTCCAGATTGACCAACTAATCTCGACATTACAGGTATTTAGAAACATTGCCACTAGTGGAGCATCACTCAGGGCGGGAAGAACTGGATATAAAGATGTTAAACATTTCAAATTCTGAAATAATCTTATGTGAAAAATAACTGTGATATGTCCATATAGGTGTAACACAAAACATCATTTTTGTGACAAATGATGTGCCTCTGGGCATGATGATGTTTTATTACAACCAACTGTAAGCGTATCACATTGATTTGTCACATAAAATTTGAAGGTTTGACAAAGCTTTATTAGCCTAAAATAGGCTACTTATTAAAACTAATATATTATATAAAAGAACAAAGCTAGAACATTATCGCTTTCCTGTCAATTATTAAATATTTTAAGGCCAATTATTAGCTGTACGTGTATATAGTCAGTTGATATTTTATACATAGATATATCTTACTTAGAAGTTTATGTTGTTTAAAAAATGAAAAAAAAAAAGAAGGAATATAAAATTAATTTTGTTTGAATGGCAGCAATATTAGGTCATTTTGTTTAACCCAACTTCGTATGATGCTGAACCTGTCCGTGGGAAACAGTGGCGTAGCTAGATGTTTTGGCGCCCGGGTTCAAGAGTATAAAATTGCGCCCCCAACCCCTCCCCCCATTATAATTATAATATTTTTATTCAGCTATCCCCGAAGGGGGTGGGGGCTGGCGCCAACCCTGTCACTGACTATTGAAACTGCATTACAATGTTCGGAACTTTGTATACAACTTTACCATTATCCTACTTTAAAGGCTGTTGTATTTATCGCATACAGCTTAGTATTCTTATTCTCTAAATTTATTTTATAGTTAGGCCTATATAATTTTTAACATTGTTTAAACGCGCAACTAAATTTTGTGTGCCTGTGCATCAGCAAATTAGTTAATAAAATGCTTTTCCCATCGTGGCTCTGAGATATGGCATGAAGCTTTAGTCATGCAGTCATTACATAATAGGATAAAAAAACAAGAGAAAACGGTCTAAATGAACTGAAAAGAAATCACAATCTATAAATTTACCAATAAAACAACTACATTCAGATTCTTATTATTAACTGGAAAATATTCATGACTGACGTCATACATCAATTTCGTCGTGTTTTATTAAAAATGCTTATGTTTGTTTTACTCTCACATTCCTATTTCAGCGCCCCCTCAAACCTGGCGCCCGGGGCACGTCCCCCCTTGACACCTAGCTACGCCACTGGGGAAACATTAGGGTTCCACGTAAAACCAAGATAAATACAAACTTTACTATATTAAACATTTAAGAACGTTGTGAATGTTGTAATTGGGTTTTGTCACTGAAAATAACGTTAACACAATGTTACAGCCCATACAAAAAAATTCTATAGAACTGTATAGACCTTCTATAGAGACTAATCAATTTCTACAGAAATTTGTATTTTCTATAAAATTGTTTTATAGAAGCACTAGTTTCTATAGAATTCTATAACATACTATATACACACTGTCTCTTATACACATCTAGATGTGTATAAGAGACAGCTACTGTACTCAGTAAGTATACTAATCAAGGAGGTTCTGATCATCACTGCATGTGATTGCACATGTGCAACCACTGTGCAGTTTATACTAAGAAGTTCAAATGAGTGGATATTTAGTTTGTTTTGTCATTCTTGATCGGATTTTCTCTACTGTTCCGTTTAAACTTTATATTATCATTATTTGCATTTATGTGGCTGCTCGTTGTTTTTATGGGTTTATCCCATTTGCCATATATATATATAAATTTAAAAGTATATAAGACAAGTGACTGTCCTTGTAGAATGCAATATACAAAAATCATGTAAAAGCGTGTGTTTACAGTCATAATTCGGATGAATTCCAAAATGGCGTATTTAGAAATTGGTTTAAAATCTACGCTGGTTCCCGGCGTTTGAGGCTGTTCCAGTATAGATTATTAAACTGTTGTAATCTGGTTGTATATATAATACTGGACGGCATAAGCCAGATTAGTATTATGTAACCCTCGCATATTGCATTCTGGTGACAATCACCAGTCGTACAAATATGAACATGATGACAGTAGAATAATGGAGTGAATATATACGTATTTATGTGTTGAATAAGGGTTTAGAACCAAATAATGTTATTACAACGTAAAACTGCTGGATAGGATAGACACACACACACACACACACACACACAATACATGGACGGGATGTTATCATTTAGAGTGCTCCAAGTAAACTCTCATGATTAAGCCTACTTGCTAGGGGCTTGGAGCAAACTTATATTGCAGAAGAGGCGAATGCAGATAGAGCAGATGAAAAGTCAATAAACATAATAGACGAATTAACCCATGAGCCAAGTCACATTGCTTACCAACTGCTTGAAGGAGCTTTTAAAAAATACAGTTTGGTTTGCATCCATACATTTCCAATAAATGGGATGATTTGCAATTTTAATGCATATTGTATAACTATGAAGGTATTATATCCATGGTATAACTATCTAACCTTGCTGGCATCCTAATCCGGCCCATCCGTCTTCACAAACATCACCATCATGGCAATTTCCACTATTTCGATCACATTTTGACGAGCTTCGGCAATGACATATTTTGGTGCATTGTGGGCCATAAAATCCATCAGGGCATTCAACATCCGTTTTCCTCTCTGATATAAGGTAAACCAATTCAACAGACAGTACGGTAATCATTAGTAACATTAAAGAGAATGATAACAACAACAGCAACAGCAATAATAATAGCAATAACAATAACAAAAATAAACATAAAATAATAATAATAATAATAATGACAATGACAATGAAAATTTTAATAATAAATGCCAAATATTTATATAGTGCCCATTATCTTAGAGTTTTTTTCTTTTCGGATTGTATTTTGTATTTCTCATTCATACGACTTAAGCTGAAGAAGGGAAACGGGCGTGTCAGAAATATTCGTGTTTAATAAAATTTTTATCTCTATTATGTCACCGTATGAAGTCGTTTTATTTCGTTTACGTTTATTCTTATATATTTCTGTGAGACATAGCCTACGTGGATCCTACTACACCAGATACTATATATCTAATTATATATGTATATATATATATATATATTTCGTTCTATTATAGATATAATATTTAATATGAAATTATGTAATATAATATTTATAACAATTATATTATATAATTCAAATATTTCCTTGATGTATTCTTTTTCTCGTATGACAGTACGACTTAAACACTTAACGTTCATTTATCAGCCTTGCGAACATACAAGTACAAGTGGAGTAACCATAGGGTTCATAACTTCATTCGAGAAAGTAATCGTAGCAAAGCAATTACTGAAACCGTTGCAAATGTAAGCAAATGAAAAACAAAATATAATTTTCATACAAAAGTAGCCCATCGTTGTGAACAAGACTTGATTTTCAAGCCAAAACCGTCAACATAATGGAAGTATTTTTATTTGTATTATATTGGTATAATTATTATAGACATTAATATCTACTATTGATCGGTTTTGATTTATAATGTTTTAAAATTGGTCTTTACAAACCTAGACAACGGGTGCCAGTGTAACCAGTATGACAATTGGCGGTTTCGTTACAACCCTCTGATGGCTGACAATCAGAGGCGTCACAGTGACAGTCAAGAAGGCATCCGGGTCCATACTTGCCAGTCGTTTCAGTGTCGCAAACTAAGTCACAAGAAGAAGGATGTATTTTTATAGTTAATTTGAAAGCACAAACAGCAGTTGCTCGTGCTTAAATAAAGTTAATATATATATACTGTCTCTTATACACATCTAGATGTGTATAAGAGACAGCATTATATAACAGAAAATAAGACAGAAAATAATGTTGCGGAAACGTTATGTTAGACAGTAGAACACAATATAATATAATTTAATCAGGAAACGAATATTTCGTCTTGTCTTCAGGACTTCATCAGCGTAATTGATTACAAAAGTTGGCAAATACCAGATCCAATGTAAAACAGAAAACAGTCGGCAAAAAGTAAAGGAGGGTGATTAAATGAGATAAACAATATTGGAGACATGGGGATAATGATATATAATGGGAGCGAGATAATGAGTAAAACAAAGTACTGATATCGAGAAGTGGAAGCGATAGCCCATGATACAGATAAATATAATGGTACAGTAACAGCAAAATAGCAGATGCAATTAATGGTGGTGGGTAGTGGTTAGCTCGCTGGCCATCGGCCGATTGAGATTAACAAGATGGCAGATCAATGTATTTTTTCTTGAAAACTCAGATGAGAATGTGTTAAAGGTCGGAAAAAGAAAAACAGGATAGACAAATATGTAAAAAAGTTGGAATTATACTGTCTGTCGAGGGATCGGAGCTCTCATTTGTCCAAGATAAATATCCTCATTTTGGTATTGACCTAAAAAAAGAATGTGTTTCGCACTCTGCAGCACAAATCATGCCAACAACCACAGTCCAGGATTGATTGGATTACTGACTTGCAAAAAAGAAAATCTTATGATTTTATTGTCCGGGGCGCTTATTCAAATTAGAATGGGGCGCTTATTCAAACGGGGCGCTTAAGGAAATTTTCACGTTAGGAAGGGCGGTTATTCGAGGGGGCGCTTATTCAAACGAGGCGCTTATTCGCGCGAGTACGGTATTCCGTCTCTAAATTAACTTTCTCGTTGGTGGCGCTGTCCAGAATGACAAAAAATAATAAAAAATAAGAGACTTGTGGCAAGTCTAACAGTAACGTAAACAATCTATCGATAGGATGAGAGGCTCGCTCTCGCTCCCACACCAACTAGCCTAGGCTTACTCTGAGTTCGGATTCGTAATATATTATCATCTTCTGTATTTTTTTCTTTTTCATACCAAGACTCATATAAATAGGTATGGGCAACAGCCAACGTCATTGTCTTCTTCATCTGTTGTTTCTTCATACGATGATGATGAGGTGAAATATTCTCCGTTACCACCATGCTCACTTTTTTCTTCCTCCGCTAGGCCGTCGCAGTGCTTGTTTTGATTTCGCGCTTGGATGAATTTTGTCGGTCACCAATGACGTCATTGAGTGACCTCGTTGTTTCTAAGGTCTTTCAAAAATGACACTTAAACCTTTTTTTTAGTTCAAAATCAATTTTATTCGTAATATATGACCAACACTTGTGTTTATAATATATTTATAATATAAACACGCTGTAGTTTATAGAAATTGTCAGAATAGGTGGCAGAGGCACTTTAAAAACAAAAAAATAAAAATAAACGAGACACTGCACAGTATTTCTCTCTTTATGCGGATTTATAACAATGTTTATTTCTGCCAAATTTTCTCCTGGTGGTAAGAAGGCGCATGGACGATTGTTTAAAATATAAAATACAGTAAACTAATAATTAAATATTAAACTGGAAAGCAAATTTAATTAAGAAAAAATTCTGCTGTAGTAGGCCTACTAGTACAAATTTGTTTAAAAAAACCAACCAAAATAATATAAATATTCGACATTCCCAAAGGTGGCAAAAGGCCGGGTGGCAACGGGCCTGGGTGGCAACGGGCCTAGAGTGGCAACGGACCGGGTGGCAAAAGGCCGGGTTGCAAAAGGCCTGGGTGGCAACGGGCCTAGGGTAGAAAAAGGCCGGGTGGCATCGGGCCTAGGGTGGCAATTAGGCCGGGTGGCAACGGGCCGGGTGGCAACGGGCCATGTGGCAAAAGGCCGGGTGGCAAAAGGCCGGGTGGCAACGGGCCAGGGTGGCAAAGGGCCGGAACCACTTATCATGGTTTTGTACACCTGTGCTTTTCAGCCTCATTGGCATCCGTCCATCATAAATCAATCCACTAACGTTTCGCCACGCATTTCCGCATTTCCTTTTTTTTTTTTATATATATTTAAAAAATAATAATTCTGTTTATGTGAAAAGTCACCGGCAAGCAATAACGGAGTCGAATAGGGAGATACCTCGGTGTAATGGTACAGACAGTAGACGACCGGGTATACCGGGTAGCACAGACACGAAGGGACACTTAAGGGCAAAGAAAGTCATTGATCGAGTTCCTAGTCCAAATACCAAGTGCCATGAACATCTTTTTTGATGAATACCTGCGCTATACAAATCATTATTCATTGGTTGGTTGGTTGGTCGGTCGGTCAGTTGATGGATTTAGACTGACCACCAACCACCCATCCGACATTGACTGATTATTGCATTAATTCTTAAATAAATATATATTCAGCATTATTTGTTTAGTGTTGGTTTACCAACTTTAATATTAAAATTGATAATAATAAAAAAAAAAAAAAAAAAAAAAAATATAAAGCCTAATATTTAAGCTGTAAAATTTACCTCTTTTGCAATCAAGGTCACCATATCCGGACATACACGAGCAACCAAAAGGGTCAGGTAGACAATAAAGACTTCCTTTACAGTTGCCTTTGTTTTTACTGCTGCATATTATATTGCAATCGCGTCCCCAATTATTATGACCACAAGCTAAGAAAAATAAGACAGTGTAATATTAATACGAGATATTTGCCACGATAGGCCTACATATTTTATTATTCATCTATATTATCAGGGCCACATATATTACATTTCCAAATTTGGACAAGAAACAATATTATGGAAAACTTAATATAATTGTAAGAATATTAGTTTATATTATACAGTACTTAACACTCAAAAAAAGGGTAGTTGATTGATTAATATATTACTTAGAATAAGGATGGAGGTGGAGTTCTTGTTCCTCATCGGAAATACACTCAATAAATTCAATTCAATCGAGTCAATAAATTAAACGGTGGTAGCGAAAACAATCAACTCGAACCGGCCTGTGAAAGGTTAACTACTCTAATACTTCCCGCTATAAGTCCCACCCCTGTCAATATTCATAAAATACGACATTTGTAAGACTAATTAGGCATCATTAGTTCGAACAATTAACAAGATACACTAATATAACGCCTACCTTCTTCACAGTTGTTTCCAGTGAAGCCCGGGGGACAGATACAAGCTCCAAAATGAACTGAGCACACGCCCCCATTGTAACATACGGGGCAGTCGCTCTCACAATAAGGAGGCTGCCACTTCCCACGAGGGCACTCTGTCCAAAAGTTGGATAGTATAGAAATTATAAACAATCATATAGAATAAAAAACACGTTTTAACGTCATTATAACACTTGCTAATAACGTTATAATTTAAGTTATAAATACGCAATTATTGTTCTACAAATATACGTTCATAGAACGTTATATAAAGACGTTCATAGTAACTGCTCTAAGTTTTACAACGTTCTTTGAACGTTATGCTGCAATGTTATTAAGTTATAAATACGTAAATAGAGTGCTACAAAAAACGTTCTTATAACGTTAATAAAAACATCTGTAACAGCAAAATGTTAACGTTGTTATAAAGTTTGTTTAAGTTATAAATACGTAATTATGGTTCTACAAATATACGTTCATAGAACGTTATATAAAGACGTTCATAGCAACTGCTTTAAGTTTTTACAAACGTTCCTTGAACTTTATGCTGCAATGTTATTAAGTTATAAATACGTAAATATAGTGCTACAAAAAACGTTCTTATAACGTTATATAAAAACATCTGTAACAGCAGAATAAAGGTTATTATAAAGTTTGTTAATAACGTTAAATAAACGTAATATTTGAACGTTATACTTAAAGTTATAAATACGTAAGTATGGTTCCCTAAATATACGTTCATAGAACGTTATATAAAGACATTCTTAGCAACTATTTTACGTTTTTATAACGTTATGCTGCAACGTTATTATTAACGTTACATTTTAAGGAAAATTTTTGTTCATGATTTGAGACATTATATTCTAAATGCAACGTTTTAAACATGGTTTTTAAACGTTTCTAAAAGTAGTGATAATTTTTCAAAATAAGTTGCAAAGACGTTAATAATTTCCGATACAGAAAAGACATGTTTTAGTAGACTCAACTAGGTATATTTTCAATCCTTTAAAGTTGACCTAGAAAGTTTTCAATGTGTACACAAGTATAATGTAAGCTATTGCCAATAAATTTAATGAACGTTTAACAGTACTATATTGTTCTGTCTTTTTAACAGCGTTAAAATAGATTTAATATCTGTAAAAAGAAAACGTTTTTTTTTTATTTTCAGGGGAAACTCTTTACTATCAATATATGCTTTAACACTCAATACATATAGCATAGGTAATTGACAATACTCACGGTCAATTTTTTACTTTATTTCTTGATTCCAAAATTACGTATAATTACTTTAAGCTTTAACTTACAAGCCTTGTACTTTTATCTTAAAATGTGCCTCGACTGATATGTCATTTAACCGACACTCCTCAGTCCACATCGTTCTTTTAAGATATCGTATGTTCCATTCCTAGCTAGATACCTCTTTACTAACCCTTTTGATAACATATTTGCATATTCCCACACTTCATTAGGTGCACGAATCATACACTGACACTTTGCCTTAACGTTTAATATTCATGTAACTTATTGGCATTCACAAACCGTTTACCATGAGTCATACAACCTACCCATATTCATTAGTTAACAGTACTGTTAAGTAGAATGAAATAATCCTAATATTGTGACAGGGTCCTCATACTCTTGCCCCCTGTTACAGTTTCCCTCTTTCAGTTTCCCCTCTTAAATTATTATCCAAGTATGATTATTTTGAGTAGAGTGTCAGCCGCAGGTTTATTGTCAAACTTTTTTTAGTGCCCATCCATTGCATCGTCGAGTGTGAAAGTTTGTGGCCAAGATTGTTGGAGGCAATCTTTAAGGTTTTACGAATGCCTTTGCTGTGACCACTCTTGCAAAGGAAATTGTAACGTATGAGAGATTGAGTTTGGGTCGAAATAAAATATACCATGACTTTTCATCCAGTTTTTTCTATAGTAGCCTGATCTGCAACATTGTATTGGTGTTTAGTTGGTAATACGCGTTGTCACGAAGTATTGCATAACGTTTTTAGCGAATGTTATATAAACGTAGCAATAAAACGTTGTGAAAACCTGAATAAGTTACGTTATTAATGAACGTTTTAAAAATGTTTTAACAACGTTCTTAAAACGTCAGAAAGTTTAAAATAAACGTTGCAAAGTCGTTATTTTTAAACGCACTCATATGCCATGAAAAAGTTGTAGAGAAATGTTATTAAAACGTTATTGAGTTAAGTTCTTTTTTTATAACATTAAGATAACGTTTAATTATAATATTTCAAAAAATTTTAAATAGTGTTCATTACTGTTGCAGGTTCACGTTATAAAAACCTGTAACAAACCTGATAAAAATGTATATTACAATGTCAATAAACATTTAAAGTATGTTTTAAATTACGTTTATAAAACGTTGTATCAAGGTTTAAATTAAACGTTGCTGCATCGTTTTTAATAAACGTTGTCACAACGTATCTCATAACGTTTGTAACGAATGTCATATAAACCTAGCAATAAAGCGTACGCAAAAGTTCATAAGTTACGTTATCAATGAACGTTTTAGTGTTATAAACAACGTCTTTCAAACGTTACAAAATTCATAATAAACGTTGCAATTCGTTGCTTTAAAACATTCTTATAATGTACATGCGAGCGTTCGTAGTGAACGTAATGAAAACATTGTATATAAACGTTATACAAACGTTAGTGTGTTACTTTACTTTATAACAATAACAAAAACGTTTGATTATAACGTGTGTAAAACTTTATAATAACTTGTAATACTAGCGTTGTACTTTTACCTTTTTAGAACGTTTATTTATCACGTTATGAATACGTCCACGTACTACTAACCAAATAATAACATTACTGCAACGTTGTGTTATTTTCTAACATAACCTAACCACAAAGTTCGCGAACGTTCTTATAACGTTTTGTGTTTGCTTGGTTTTGCTTTGATTGGTCCATATAACCACATCAACATTTAATCAGTTCATTTTTCGAACGCCTTTTATTGTATCAGTTGTACACCTGCAAATTCTTGACATCTTCTGGCTTAACACACTGGCACGTTCTACTCTTATAGCTGATAAAATAATACATGCCATGTATTGGTGTTGAAATATTATGCAAATATAATTATGGGGATTTGGTGTTAGCGTCACATGTTTAAATGTAAAGAAGCATTAAAAATATTACAAGACAGTTCCGAAAAAAGTGAAGTGGTAATTCATGTTGATATGTGAACGGACGCGCCTCAATCGGCAGCTTTGGGAATTATTGTTTCCCTTTAATTTTACTCCTGTTTGGTTCCTGTGTTTGCTGTTTGTTGTTGTTGCTGTTGTGTGGACTCTTTTTGGTGTTTTTGAGCCATTTTCTGCCTCGGCGTCCGTGCTTTTTTGTGTTTGCCGGTGTTTAAAGCTAGGCCTATTGATTCCACTCGCACGCTTAACAAAGCCTGAGTCTACGCCTACCATGAGCTCCTCGGAAGATTTCTACGAGCCGCGTGTTTGTTGAGATTACGTAATATTAGACGTTTGTTGAGATTACGTAACATTAGAATGCATCACTACTATTCGAGGCAGATGTTACTCAGCCTTTGCAATTTAAAACATAAGCCATCTAGTGCTTTGTTTCAATCACTGAACCGTCTTGGAATAGCATGCACTAAACCCCGTGGTTGTAGGGGTGGGCGTACTAACAAGTTGAGGCGTATTACAACCCGTATACAGCAGAGCTCTTCTACAAGTACATTTACAAATACCGACAGAGGTTGCATTTCTAGTAATTTGATCAAGATTGTTTGTAATCATAATGGTAGCCGTGGATGTCATGATCAACTGCCAACATTTTTCTTTTGTAACCCGAGGTCGCTTAATAACAAACTTAATGAATTAAGTGTTGTGTTGGAATCCAATAATGTCGACGTCGCTGGAATCGCCGAATCTTTGTTCTCTGCTAACTTACCTCCTGAACTTTCGAACATTGACGGGTATTGTACTTTTCACAGGCCTAGAACCGATAAACGTGGCGGTGGTGTGGCCCTGTATGTTAAGAACAGCATTAAATGCAAGGTGCTTACCGACATTTTTGTACCAGATGACATTGAAGCTCTATGGGTCAGCGTGAGACCTTCCCGTCTACCCAGGTTCGTCACCAGTTTTGTGGTAGGTGTGATTTACTATCCGCCCAATAGCCCTGTTGCTGAAAAACACATTGATCACTTGAGCTCTACGGTTGATAGTGTTTTGTCCAAACACCCCGGTAGTGGTATTTGTATAGTTGGAGATTTCAACCACCTCGACTTGAACTGTGTTCTATCTAGTTCAATTAAACAAGTGGTCAACAAACCTACACGAGGCAGTTCAATTTTGGACAAAATCCTTACCAACGTTAGTTCACAATATCTGCGCCCTGTCATTTTGCCTCCTATTGGACTGTCGGATCACAATTGTGTTCTTTTTAAACCCAAAGTAACTGCTACGAAATCTAACTTTATAAGAAAACACATTGTGCGTCCCATGCCGGACAGTAAGTTACGAGCATATGGGCAGTGGCTTTTTGATTATGAGTGGATGGAAGTGTATAACTTTTACCAAACCTTGCATGAATCAATTGACAAGTATTTTCCAAAACGTGTTGTTAAGCGCCATCCCACCGATAAACCGTGGATGTCATTGCAAATTAAAGCACTTATTGCCAAGAGACAAAAAGCATTCGCAAACAATCATTATCACCTTTGGCGTCAACTAAGAAACAAGATTAATCGTCTAATTAGAGAAGCAAAAAATCTATCTTATGTTAATAAGATTCAGCATCTCAAACGATCCTCACCAAGTGAATGGTATAAAAATATACGTGTTATGACTGGTCAAAGTTCACAGAAAGAATTAGCAGTTCCTAATTGCAACAATCACATGGAGACTGGTAACGCTGTTTGTACTCACCTTAGCAGCATAGGTAAAAATCTTAAACCACTAGACAGACTATCCCTACCGGTGTTTTTGCCTGCGGCTGAACCCCGATACATTCAACCATGGAATGTCGTCAGAATCATCAATAAACTGAATACAAGGAAGGCTGGTGGTCCAGACATGATTTCTGCTCGATTCATTAAAACATTCTCATATGAATTGGCCGAACCTCTATCATGTATTATTAATGCGTCTTACCGTGCGCTTGAGGTGCCCAGTGAATGGAAACGTGCCCATGTAGTTATCATCACTAAGGATCCGAAGCTTCCAGCTACACTTGATAATATACGACCTATTGCCCTTACCGACTTTTTTGCAAAAATTGCGGAACACTTTGTGGCAAGAGATACATTGAAAGAAATGAATACCATGCTTGACCCGATGCAGTTTGGGAATCAGCGAAAAGTGTCTACATCTCATTGCTTAATTAGTCTTATGGACTCGCTATATCGGCATGCTGAAATTCCTTCCACTGTGTCTTCCATTTTGTTCACTGATTTTTCAAAAGCCTTCGACTTAGTTGATCATACGATTGCGGTTTCCAGACTAATAAATATGAACGTTTCACCTACCAATGTTGCTTGGATTGCTGACTTTCTCAGCAACAGACATTATCAAGTCAAGTACAGGGGTCACTTTTCTGATAGATGTATTGTCAATTTTGGTGTCCCTCAAGGGACCAAAATTGGTCCCGTCGTCTTCTGTGCAATGATTAATAATGTCTTTCCCCTGAAAATGCTCCTGTTAAACATGTGCAACTGCGCTACATGATTGGGCTTCAGGTAGCAATATGAAGCTTAACCCCAAGAAATGTTGTACTATGGACATTAGTTTTAGTAAAAGGAACTTTATTCCTTCATCTATTTCTCTGAATGATCATGTTCTGAAAGCAGTTGACATTGTTAAAGTTCTTGGAGTTATGCTTCAGGCTAATCTTAAATGGGATTCACATGTCGAATATATTGTCAAAAAGGCTAATAGTAAATTATATACTTTAAGAGCCCTTAAAAATTATGGTGTTCCCCCTGTTGACCTTATCACTGTTTACATTAGTACAGTCCGTCCTATTTTAGAATATGCAGTTCCTGTGTGGAACTGTGGACTTACACAACTTTGGGTTCCCGCATCGAGCGAGTCCAAAAGAGGGCATGTAGAATTATCCTGTCGTATGACGACGCACTATCCCAATTCCAATTGGACAAATTGTCTGATAGACGACATAACCTATGCGTTTCCTTTGCAAAAACCCTTGTTCATCCGTATTCTAAACTTCATGACTGGCTCTCTCCCCCAAGGTTCAACTCCTATAATACTAGGTGCAATACTAAATTTACTATACCTCGTTGTAGAACGAAAAGATATCAAAACAGCCCATTACCATACCTTGTTAACTTAATTAACTCCAATGATTAATAATTAATAGCTATCTTTTCCCCCTGGGGGTTTGGTGCATGCTATTGCCCTTTTGCGGTTCAGTGATTGCCCCTCCCCCTTGCCTTCCTTTTTGGTCCCTGTGCAATTTATTCAATGTATTTTTCTATATTGTAATTTTTCTCTGTTTGTGATTTTCTCATTTGTTATGTTTCTTGATATTTTTAATGACAATCCTTAATTAAGTTATAATAATAAGGATAATAAATAATGACAATAATATTGATTATTATATTGTAACGATAATGATTATGTTTTGACTTTGGTGCAATCTTTTTTCTCTTTTTGATATTTTCGTTATGATGTCCTTTTTGATTTGTATTAATTTTCTTAACTATAATAATAATGACAATAATAATAATTATAATAATAATGACAATTTTCGATCTTTGTGCAATACTTTTTTCTCTTTTTTTGATCTACTTGTTATGATGTTTTTTGATCATTTTTATATTAGTATTCATAACTAAATAAATTAATAGTAATAATAATAACAATAATAATAATGACGAATTGGATAGAATATCGATCCTTATGCAATATTTTTCTCTTTTTTTGATGTACTTGTTTTTTTATCTTTGCTGTTTTTTTTAATGGTTTTAATTGTTAACATAATTCGCAATTCAGCCTTTTGGCTGCTATGTTTTTATGTCTTAATTTGAATTTTTGAATTTTGAATAAATATACCATTTTGAATGAAAAGTTAGTAAAATTGACAATAAAATTGATAAATATATATTTTAGTTGGAGTAGCTTTTTCGTTAAAAATAGAAAGAATGGATATTGGAAGGTAATTATTAGATTATTTTAATGATTAGGAGGATGAGAATATTTTATTTTGTCTTTCGTGGGTGTAGCCCACCTTTATTCTCTCTTTTTTCATTGCTTTCATTTTTTCAATAACTCTTGTTCAAGGTACAAAAAACACTATGTTCAGAACTTACATAAAGGTAAAACAAAAAAAATAAAAAATAAAATAAAAACTTCATGTGTCTACCATGAATTACACAACGGTATCACATGAAATTTATATGAACAATTATTATTTTGATGCATATTTACTTACTAGTGCTTGGTGAGAATGAAAATATTATTAACAATAATAATAAGTGTAATATTAATAATATAATGATATAGTTATAATAATTATAATATGTATATTTAAATGCGAAGAAAACGTCGTAAGCCGATAAATAATATCTTCAAGGCCTTTAACAAAAATTTTATAAATATTTGATATAATAATCTCTAATATATTGTTAGTTTTGGTATTCAAAATGTAAATAAAATCAAAACAAAGTTTTAATTAATTTGTATATTTGTATGGTATTAAACAAAAAATTAAAATAAAAAAAAAACATCCCCTGTCAATGTTCAAACAGTTAAATAATAACGTTCCTCTACTTTTTTGCATGGACTCTTAAATTGGCTGGTGAATAATTTAAGTATTCTAAAAATTAGAATAAAAATATCTTTATTTTTTTTTCTATCTGTTTCTATTTGATTATTTCGAATGAGCTATTTAATATTTATTTTTAAATTTCTGTGGTATTTTCGTGTCATTTTGACAATACATGCATAAAAAATAAATAAAATTTTAATTGCATAATCAAATTTATATTTCCCAATATATAAAAATGTATTATAATACTTTTCCATAATTATACATGATCCTAAATCGGATTTTTGTAGTAATGTAAATATGTAGTTGGTGGCGCTGGTGAAGCTGTGGCCCCGCGCTTCTTCTCTTGTTTTTCGATTTTTAACTGATTCTATTCCACCTAGAATCTTGCGAGAATTTGCCCCTGAATTGAGTGAACCCCTTGCAGATATTCTAAACTGTTTTTTTTATAGAAAGCAAACTTCCATTACAGTGGAAAAAAGCTATAGTGGTACCCATTCCAAAGGAACAACCACCTAGAGTTGACAGGTTGAGGCCCATTTCACTTACCTCTGTCTTTGCTAAGATAGCAGAAGAGTTTGTTTGTGATTGGATCTTAGCTGATATATAACCAAAATTAGATATTCGACAGTACGGTAATGTGAAAGGTGCCTCAACCAGCCACTACCTTGTTCGTCTTATTCATGACCTGTGCTATGCAGCCGACAAAAGTCGCAACATTGGCACGATCGTACTCACGGACTTCACTAAAGCATTTGACCTTATTGAACACAACATCTTAATTAACAAATTTATCAACATTGGAGTCCGTGGGTCGATCATCCCATGGATTTGCGACTTTCTCAGCTGCAGAGAACAGTGTGTCAAGTATAACAACACTTTATCTAATTTTATATCGCTCAAAGGAGGAATACCCCAAGGCACAAAACTTGTGCCTTGGGGTGTACCTGTTGGTTTCCAAATTTTAGTTAATGATGCAGGACAGAGCACGACTACCAAATATCTGAAATACGTTGATGATTTAACTTTTTTATGAAAACAGATTCATTGGCCAACAAGGCATTTTACAAAATGATCTTAATGTTTTTTATGACTGGTGTGCTATAAACTCTCTACAGCTCAATCCTAAAAAGTGCCAGGCACTGCAGGTCTGCTTTGCAAGAAATCCTCCAATTATACAACCTTGTTTTGATGGTAGACCTATTACTGTGGTTGATAAAACTACAATATTGGGCGTCACACTTCAAAATAATTTGAAATGGAATGCCAAGTTAACAATATTGTTACTAAGGCCAACAGGAAACTGTTTATGCTCCGTAATCTTAAGAAATTTGGACTTGATAAACAATAACTTAGAGCAGTTTATACAGGGTATATCAGACCAATATTAGAATATGCTGATGTTGTGTGGCACCCTGGCCTCACTCAAGATTTAAGTAACACTATTGAAGCGATACAGAAAAGGGCATGCTATATAATCTTAGGCAAACATTTCAATTATGAACATGCCTTGGGCATATGTGAACTTCAACTGCTCTCGGAAAGGAGGGTGGCTCACTGTCTCAAATTCGCCAAGGGTCTTACTTTAACCTCACATTCTTCTGATCTGGTACCACACACTCGTTACCGCAGCCACAATAAAAATCTCCGCAATGGTAACAAAATCACGAAATTTTCCATTAAAACAAATAGATTTTTCAATAGTCCAATCCCGTACTATATCCGATTACTCAATAATTCATAAACAGCAATGTTACCCTTGATGATTTGAGTGTGCCACCCTCCTTCCCGATTGGTGCTACAAATGTTCGGTCCAAATAATATTAATAATAATTATAATAATTATACTGTAATAATAAAATAATAATTTTTTTTCTATATTTATATATATATTTTTATTTTTTTTATTTTTTTTTAAATGTAT